TGCACCATGATAGAGTGCATTGTAGATGAAAATATGATGACATTCAGACATGGCATATATTTTTTCCTTTAACGGCCTACACTGGAGATGCTCTAAGGTGGGGCATGGACAAAATCGTTATATACTGATAAATTTATATATAATATATATTTGTGAAAAATATTTAGCAGATAAAATATAATGTATAAATAATTAATTAGTATAATTAAATATAATGATTATTTAAAATTTAATATTTGTAGATAAGTTATTTATTATTTTATAAGTTTAATAAACTGTTATATCTTGTATTCATTAAGTTTAAACATATTTTTTTAATTATATATTATATAATAACTACTACAAAAAATTTAAAAATTGTTAGGGTCCCATGTTTAATTATATTTTATTAATTATATATTACATAATAATTAATGAAAAAAATTTAAAAATTATTGGTTCCACATCCTTCACCATCCACTCTTCTTGACCATTCAGACGACGAACCGCCATTGCCGCTACATTCGAATCTTGAAATATAATAAGTCAATTATCTAATTTATAAGTTTAATATTATATTCATAAACATAATTTAAAATACTTGAAATATGATAGTTCAATTCTCTAATTTGTAATTTTAATATTATATTTATATACATCATTTATAAAACTTCATTTATTTTTGTGCATGTGAAAAGCTTATATAACAAGTTATAGGGAATTATATGATATAACAACCGTTTGATTTCAATAGATATCGATTCGTAATGTTTCGGATAATTTTAAAAAGAAATGCTATTTTTTAGAAAACTTTGTTAAAGGAAAGGACAAAAATGTATATTGCGTTGGGCCATTTAGGCCGCCCGGACTATCTTGGCCCATAGGATCAATTGGTGCGGCCGAACATGCCTTATTTTATTTATTTATCAAGGCAAAAATAGTTCTCATGTTTTTTCGACGCCTATATAATGAAAGATCATTGTGACTGGTTAGAATTCAAGAACTGCAGAGATAGAGAGAAGAGCAGTAAGGAGAGGAGAGTCATCTGGTTCAGATACATTCAAGTATTGGTGGTGGAATGTATGTTCAGTTGACAGAAGGGAAATTTCAAAGGACATAATAGAATTATCTACATATATTTTATGGTGACTTTGGAAGTCACGAAATCTCTAGAAATTCCAAAATATTTGGATGCCTGATCAGGCTGTGCTTAGTGACTGGTTAGAATTCAAGAACTGCAAAGCTAAGAGAGAAGAGCAGAGGGGAGTCATCTAGGTCCTTTCGACTCAGTGGAGTCTATACTCTTCAGTTTTTGTTCTTTTCTTTCAGTCTGTGTTATTATTATTGTGCTGCATTGGGTTGTGTATCAGTGATGTGTTGGTTGTACTGCATTGTGTTGTGTATTTGGGGTATGCCGGTTAGAGCTATAGGGATCTGAGCATGTCAGTCTGTAGTTTGTTGGAAATTAGTTTTTCGATTGGGTTTAGGCCATCTGTTGGATAGGCTCATTTATATCTCTTCAAACATTGAGGCGCTGCCTCTCGGCTTGTACTTTGTCTTATTTTAAATAAATTATCTATTGTTTTGAAAAAAAAATAATAATAATGAAAGATCATGTTTTTCTACGCAAGCCACGAGCCAGGCTCGAAATTGCGGGATCTATGCCTATCTTGCTGTATCTATGAGTATAAAATAACAATAGAGATTTATCCTAAATATAAAGTAAAAATCCCGTCTAAAAATTTAAATTTTATTATAATTGGTAACTTTTTTGAAATTCTTTGAAAAACTAGCGGTTGATTTGTAATTTAAATTTCAAATTCATTCACATTTAAAGAAAATTATCATAAGTAAAATTTTTTTAGATACATTCTATTTTATCTTAACTTATATATAATCACATTCCTAACAAACATTAAATTTGCTTACATATTTTTAAATTAATTACATCAATAATAATATTAATACACATTAAATATTTATCATTATATAAAAAAGAATATTACTTCTATGAGTGTTATAAATAATAATGACATTATACGATGATAAATTTTTGAATAAAATAATATTTGAGTATTATGATGAACCAAAATATGTAAAGTTATTATCTTTTTTGTATTAAAAAATAAATAAATATAATAAATTATTATTTATATTAATATAAACGAGTCAACAGGCTAATAAATTGTTAAAATAAAGTTTTGAAAAAATGTTCTAAGGAGAGAGAGATGGGATAATAAAATCAGGTGAGTCATATCATATAGTAGTCATTACACTGTTTTGACAAATCACAATTTGTTTTTCTTGGCAAAACATTTCTATACACAGTACACTAGCCAGTGAATCTACTCTACATACAAAAATGTTACTATATCTCCATCTACATTTATTTAAATGCAGTGCCTAGGGCTAACACTTACATTATATATCATATACAAAAAAAAGAAAAAAATTATAATAATAAAAATATAATCAGTTACGAATTATAAGGAGTTACGAATCTGAGTGTGAGCGGAAAATTATGAGTAGCTATTCATTTATTGCAAAATCATACAAATTTCTGTCAAATTTTTTGTGCTATTTATATTAACAAACCGTTATATTTTATATAAATTAAATTTAATTATATTTTGTTAACTATTATATTATATAATAATTAATACAAAAATGTGTAGGGGAAAAATCTATATACAGGAGCTGAAATCATAAAAATTTCGGCCACTTTTAAAAACGAACTAAGTTCGTCATACGCATCAAATCCTTTTACCCAAGACACATGAAACAAGTATTGATCGGCACGCGATGGATCGACACATGAAACAAGTATTGATCGGCACGCGATGGATCTTTCTAATATTGGCACTACTAACCAGTCAACCATCAACCAATCAATTATCTAATTTATAACTTTGATATTATATTAATATTCATAATTTAAAATACTTTAGTTATATGTAAAATATGATATGTCTATTCTCTAATTTGTAATTTTAGTATTATATTTATACGCATAAATTACACTATTTTATTTACTTTTGTGCATTTGCAGAGCTTATATAACTAATTATAAGGAATTAACAACGGTTTGATTTGAATAGATAATCTATTAATAATATTTCGGATACTTTTCAAAAGAATTGTTATTTTTTAGAAAACTCTGTAAAGAAAAACGGACAGTTGTGAACTTTTGTCCTAAATTAAAATGTTTATGCTGGGCTATTCAGGCCGCCCAGACTAATTTAGCCCATAGGATCAATTCGCGAACAGGCCTTATTTCTTTATCAAGGCAGAAATAGTTCTGATGTTTTTTCGACGCCCTATATAATGAAAGACCATGCTTATCTAGGCAAGCCACGAGCCAGGCTCGAAATGCCTCTATCTTGCTGTATATCAGTGTATAAGCATTACCATTCTTATGCCATCATTTTGTTTATTCTTCCATGAGTTCATATCATATAGTAGTCAAACAAGGAGAGAGAGATGGGATAGTAAGATCAGGTGATGTTCATTACACTAAAACCACTATTTTGACAAATCACATTTTCTTTTTCCTGGCAAAACATTTCTATACACGAGCTGGTGGAACTACTCTACATACAATAATGTTACTGTATTCCATCTACATTTATTTAATGAGGGCTAAGCACTTACATTATATATCATATACAAAAAATCAAAAATAAAAAACAAAATAATCAGCAAGATCATCCCTTGAGGTAACCATATTTGCAAGCATAGAATTGTTGAGGGGTTCCAAGTCTTGAAGCCATCCAACAAATCAAATGAAGGAAAAGAAGTCACCAGTCCAAGCTGATATTCCTTGAACTGTATAACTTATCAATGTATTCAATCACTGGAAGTGAGGCATTGATGTACCTAACCATTTCTCTCTCGGACGACTCGTATGAGCCAAAAATCGGTATAGAAAAAATCACTAAATCATCCAAGTTATTTGTTCACCAATAATAATAATAATAATAAGTCTTAATTATAGAAGGAAAATAGTTTTTGGCATTTCTTAAAATAAAATTTTTAATTAGTATATAAAATTAAATTTAAAAAAAAAACATGTGTGCATATTTTGTAAAATATTTATACACTATTTAATTTTAAATTTATTTACGTATTTTAAATTGATTAGATAAATAAATAATAATAACGTACCTTGAATATTTTTCATCACATAAAATAAAAAAGAAAAAAAGACGTACAACTTCTATAATTTTTATAAATAAAAATGACATTATATGACAACAAAGTTTATAATAAAATAATAATTAAGTATTATATGATGAACAAGAATAATTAAAACTGTTATTTTTTCTGTCCCGTGCATCGCACGGGATACGTACTAGTTTATTTTCCATCAAAGTAAAAAATATGTGCAACTTAATGAATAAGACATATAGGTGTATCAAAGAGAAAATCAAACTCGGGAAAAGTAGGTCTTATTTGCATGATAGAGATGTCCTCTGAAAGGAAACTTCTCATGAAACTGTTGTAAACCATCATCCATATCTGCTTCTTTCATCAAGTGAAAAAAGCTGAAATGTGAGAGTGAATTATCTCTTTATTTGCAAATAGTGTTGTAACAGAACGAACAAGCAAGCGCTCGTGTTCAACTATGTTCGAAAATTAGCATACTTTCATGAACATGCTTGTGTTGGGTCGATTAACAAAAGAGCCTCATGTTTTGTTCAAGCATGACTTGATTAACAAATAAAAATAAAAATGAGCTTTAATTATACAAGCTCAAACTTGCATTTATTTGCAAATGTTCAATTCACTTACAACTTGTTGTGCAAATGTTCTGAAGTTTAAGGTAACTCTTACATCACACTACACAAACATATAATCCATTCTGTATAACCATGTATAGCATTCTATCATTTGGTTGACAGTTAAAACATATTTACAAACTTTCTGGGACCACATATGTTCATTAGTGAGCACAGTATACTCCAAAAATCAAAGAAAACTCTCAAATAAAATTCTATAAAAGAGTCAATTATGAATTATTAAATACTGAAAGAAGAAACAATAAAAGAGGAAGGAATCACATAATCTGTAGATAAAAAGTTTTGGAATATTGCCCTGATGAGATCAAGGCCCTGCCTGACTCTTCGCAAATTCCGTGAGAGGCTTCCTTGTGTCTTCACTGTGTCATTATGCTTATCCAAATCAAGTATGTTATTTAACGTCCCATAGCTATCCGATGCATCTGCTAGATCATTCACCTGAAAATAATTTCACATGGTATACAAATTGTTCATAGCAAGTTCCAGAATCATATTTGTGTGTTCATCCAAACGTTCATAGCACGTTCACAAATGAAACGGACATACATATGGAAAATGCAAGCCCAAGAATAAAAATGAATTTTTTATGGCTTTATTTCCTTAATAATGAGCCGCGATTTCCATACGTGATTATTTGAAATATACCACAAATTGTTAAATTAATTTATCGAAATAGTAAATATATTTTTTTGGAGAAAAATAGTTACTATTTAAAAAATAATCAAATATATGTAGATATAGATAATAAAATTTATACCATTATGGTTAAAATATCTACTAAGTAGATACCAAGTTATACCACAAAATATAAAAAAAATTTGACATTTATTACCATTGAAGAACTCATTGGTCCTTACTGGCATCAATCCGGCTTCTTTAAGTTGAAGCAGTTATCTGTTGCTTTGCTTGGCTGAACAAATCCTGAACCTGCTTAACCTCCTTTTCTGGCACAACAAAGCTTTATCTATATATATATAATTACTAGCTAATAACATTGAATAAAACCTATTTAATTTTACCTATGTGGCAATTTAACAATTTTCCCTCAAAAAACCGTTACATTTTGATGTATTTAATCTTTCATTTAATCATTAAATAATTAATACTCATCACTTCAAAATTAGAAAAATCATTTTAAACTTTTGATTAATGACAGTTGACCATATAATGTGTTGACCGTATAATGTGATTAGATGTTATTATTGTTGTTACATTTTTTTTTTAACATAAAAAATATATTTGAAATTCCTAAATAAATAATAAATAATTCACAAATAAAAGACATACCAAAATATACATTACATCCAATTAGATAAACACAATTTAAAAAAAAAAATATTCCAACTCTTTTAATTGTAAATTTGGTCTGCAAAAAAGTGAAAGAAAAATAATTAATCATTATATGCATACAGACTCACAATAATTTATTTATATATGTGCAAATGCACAGGTCGAATACTAGTTAGTTTAATATGAGATCATAAATGGAGTTGAAGATAAAACAGGAAACAAGCATATTCAGAAATGTGAAAATAGGCCGCCAACTCCACCATGACAGCTTCTATGGCATATCACCATCACCACGTAAACACAAAACATGCATTATGCTCAATGTTAACAAATTGTTATTAATCAGTTAAGTGATATACAAGCCTTTCAGACAACTACTTTTAGTTTTCTTTAGCCAATGACTTAACACGCACCAAGCACAAAGGGTAAGCCGCACTTTTCTTAATATTTCGGGGACAAAATGAGCAACACCACACTCATAACTAATCCCAAATTACAACGAGTATGGTGATTTTGGTTATAAATACCAATATTGAGACCAGCCATTGGCTATGATTTCTATTTGAAGAAAGTCGAAAAATTTACCTGCAGCAGCTTCCAGTTGCTTCTGAAGTTTTTCTCCAATTGCGTCATTCTCAGCCTGTAAAATCTTCTTTTCGTTAGTTAGTAAGGCATGACAATGGAAATTACCCATACAAAAGTAAGTTCACATATTATATTCAACCTGGAGTTCCGCAATTCTTTTCAACTGAGCCTCTTTGATAGTGGAAGTGCTGCAACTAAGGCATCAAACTGCGAAAGGCATTTTTAGCCGAACAATATCAACTACCAAAGAAAATCTTGTAGCTGGGCATGTTGAAAAGAACAATTGTGAAATTGGGCATTAGAAGGACTTGGAAAATCACCAAGATGGGATTTTTCTCACCAGACACCTGACTATGTGCTCTTTTGTCTAACCTGATTATTGAACATACCAACTACAATTATTGTTTGGATTTTCTAACAAACTCTGATAATGGAAACTCTGAGTAAATTGAAATTGCCACTCTATAAGATCCAGCTAATGATGAGTTAACACTCACACAGACACACAGACACACACATGAGTGCCAAAGTGCAATCACAGACCAAAAAAATCAACATCTATTACTATATCCTTAAAAGTACCCAACATAACTATTATCCATTCAACAAAATATCAGGTCTTTGCAGTCTTTGTGCTTTCTGCTGCAAATATGAAAGTGCAATCCAAGTATAAGGAAAACCCCCTCAAGCTAATTAATCTCCTAATTACCTGCTTGGCAGCTTTCACCAATTCGGAACTGAAAATCTTGGGTTACTCTGCGAGATTGGTCTGACTCCTCGACTCCATTACCATTGGAATTTGCAGGTTGAGGCTCCGGATAATTTGGAGATAACTGAATCGGAAGTGCGTCTCTTCGAAGTGTTTGAAGGGTGTTGAACTCGAGAGCTGCTACTGTGTTCACTTGCTCCTGCAATTGAGATATTATGTCCATCCTACACTTCCAGCTGGAAGACGGAGGAGGCGACGTTGATCGGCGGCGAACGAAAATTGGGGCAAAAGACGGTGAATTGTAAAAGGGAAGGGAGAATTGACTTTATAAGGTGAGGGCGTGGGCAAAATCGTTATATACTGATAAATTTATATATCCCCTCTATAGAGATTAGGTGGAAAACTCTAATGGCATGATTGGTATGAAGGAATAGCATGGAAATGGAATGATCATTCCCTTATTCATTCCTTATCCCATGATTAGTATATTTTTTGGGAAGGAATGACCATTCTAATGGGAATGGCAAAACCCATCTCCATGGGATTAGCCATTCCATAGTGAATGGAAGGTTTTCTCATTCCCATGTGTGTAGGAATCAATTTTTCAAAAAATAAAATTAACAAATAATAATAAAAAATAAATATATAATATATAATATAAATCATGATTAAAATATATTAATTAAATTATTTTTAAAAAAAAATCAAATAAAAAAATTAAAAACTTACTTTTGTTTATTTTTTAATTAGATATATTAAATACTTATATAAAAATAAAACTAAAAAAAAGCATTTATATATAATTTAAAAATATTTTATTTTATTTTTATATATTATTAAAAATATATTATTTTTATATATTAAAAATATAATATTTTTAAAATATATTATTAAAAATATATTATTGAAAAAGATATTAAAAATATATTATTTTAAAAAATAAAATTCAAATAAAAAATTGAAAACTTACTTTTATTTACTGTTTAATTAAAAAATAAAATATATATTATTAAAAATATATTACTTTTTATT